AAACATTGGAGGTATGGAGTTATGTGACTCGTGTGCCAAGGAGATAAGTAACTATACAACCTTCAGAAGACATCTGAAGGAAGCCCTCTATAGGGAACTTTTAATGTTTAATGTTTTATGATGTTTTTATATATGTTGGAAGCTATCCAGAGTGGCTGAGGCATCCCAGTCAGATAGGTGAGGTATAAATAATAATAAAATGATGATGATGGTGATGATGATGATGATGGAAAATAAGACATTCCCATTTTCATCAGAGAAATGTTGGAGGGTTTAAGACTTGAGGAACTGCCTGCCTTTCTTAGTGTTAGCCTAGTGTGGCCAGCAAAACCTTAGACATCCCTTAAAAATCAAAAGACAAGTTAATGGCTGATAACAGCGAATGGCTATTAGTCACAAGTCCTCTGTGTTCACAGGAAGTACACTGCTGGGGCCACAAAAGAGATGACCATGACCTTCATACGTTCCTTGTGAGCTTCCATAAACAAATGTCATCGGAAACAGAATTTTGTATTAGATAGACCTTTGTCTGATTCATGGAGACAATTCTTTTAAAGCTTCCCCCCCTTAACCTTTTCTTTAACCTTAAGTCTTCTAGTTTCACAGAGCTTGTGGCTGGATTCTTGCATGTTCTCTGTCTAGGAGTACAAAAGGCTACTAAAGTACAGCTCATCAGAGTTCCAAACTTCTCAGGACAGACAGATACCAAGGACTAAGAGATCCAGGGTTTTATTTAGTGAGTAACATAGAAGACAACAGAGGGACTGGAGTATAAATAATACCATTTCCAGCAAAAGTTTTTAATTCCACAATGTAGAGATGTTCCTTAGTTCAGTGGTTTGCTTTATTAATTCATGCAGCTTGCTCTATAAAACTCACACGTCTATGCTAGCAAAAGGCTCTTCCTACTATTTTCCATATGGAAAGCTTGTCAGTTATAGAGAAATGTATGTGAAAATCATGAAATGAGCAAACACATGTTCCTTAATTGGTGTACCAAATTTAAATAGTGGTTTTAGTTACTGGAAACAGTTCAGAATGCCCCCCGAAAGGTCACCTTGGCCCTAATGCCAGCCTTTAGTACATACATTGTTGTTGTTGTTGTTTAGTCGTTTAGTTGTGTCCGACTCTTCGTGACCCCATGGACCAGAGCACGCCAGGCACTTCTGTCTTCCACTGCCTCCCGCAGTTTGGTCAAACTCATGCTGGTAGCTTCGAAGACACTATCCAACCATCTCATCCTCTGTCATCCCCTTCTCCTTGTGCCCTCCATCTTTCCCAACATCAGGGTCTTTTCCAGGGAGTCTTCTCTTCTCATGAGGTGGCCAAAGTATTGAAGCCTCAGCTTCAGGATCTGTCCTTCCAGTGAGCACTCAGGGCTGATTTCCTTAAGAATGGATAGGGTTGATCTTCTTGCAGTGCATGGGACTCTCAAGAGATTCCTCCAGCACCATAATTCAAAAGCATCAATTCTTTGGCGATCAGCCTTCTTTATGGTCCAGCTTTCACTTCCATAGTACATACATACATCATTTTATGTGTATGCCACTTTTCCATAACCAAAACCATGCTCAAGGCAACTTACAACATGAAAAGAAACATAATTGCAAATATAAATATAGTAATAAATTATAAGTAAAACATCAAAAAGTACACAACCAAACTGAATGATTTCCACATAAATCATAAAAAGATGCAAAAGCAAAAAGCAAAAATCAACATTAGAAGCAACAACTCCCTCCCCTTAAATAATACCTCTACCCCAAAATATGTTCAACAGCCTCAGCTTTTTTAGCTGGAGTCAGTGCCCTGCCCTTCCAGGCCAGGGAGCAGGTCTTCCAGTCCTCATAAATGAAGCAATAATAAATGAGGCAATAGTGACATGTTTATATATTTAATAGATTGATTCTCCAACGTGTCATACATGATTGTCATGTGAACCACCCTGAGACCTGCAGGCATAGGGTGGTATACAAATTTTAATCATCATCATCATCATCATTATGATCATCATCTCATTCATTTTATATTCAGAACAAGCCTATATGGTAAATCTGGCTGCGAGATACAGACTAGGAGGACTGCAGAAACCCAAGGGGTGACATCCCTGTGGGTGTCCTGCCCATCATTGCCAGAGAAGTGAGGACAAGTGGTAGTGGCAGTGAGATTTCACATGACCTCTACAAAATCTTGCAATAGCTCCACCAGGTCTAGCAAGACCTTGCCAGAAGTTGCTACCACTTCAATTCAGTTCCCCAGTGGAGATGGGTAAGGCGTCTGTGGGGGTGCCACCCCTTAAGTTTCCGCAGTCTACCCTCATGTATATAAATTACTGGAGGGAATTGTTTTCTTTGTTGATGGTGAAACCCTGCTGTAAAAAATAAAACGGTGCTCTCCAGGGACCTTTTTTTTTTTTTTACAATTTCACTTCTTGTAAAGTTCACGGGCCTAGAGAAATATCAAGGGACAAAATAAATACCGTATTTTCTGCTCTATAAGATGCACCAGACCACAAGACGCACCTAGTTTTTGGAGGAGGAAAACAAGAAAAAAAATATTCTGAATCTCAGAAGCCAGAACAGCAAGAAGGATCGCTGCGCAGTGAAAGCAGCAATCCCTCTTGCTGTTCTGGCTTCTGGGATAGCTGTGCAGCCTGCATTCGCTCCATAAGACGCACACACATTTCCCCTTACTTTTTAGGGGGTAAAAAGTGAGTCTTATAGAGCAAAAAATACGGTAAATAAAATGGAATGACAAAGTGACCCAAGGCTTTGTGGGGGCCCTGATCATACTTCAGGAGGTGTTCTTGACCTCAGGAGGTGTTCTTGACAAATCATCCATGTTCACCTTGTTATTTAGCCCCTTCACCGTGCTGATTCACAACCTTACTCTACAGCCGTAGGTATGTCAAACCAATCCTTCCCACTCACACATTCCCTTGGAATTTCTCATATTCCAGATCCCTACTCCCACATTACCAAAATTACTCATTGTGACTAGTTGGTGTGTTCTGACGCCAACTAAGGAGTCAGGAAATCATTCCCCCCATATTATATTTATGCTATTCCAAGTACTCTGAGCTATTCTTCAGGACCAGAAGTAGTCTGCCCAGCTCTTCCATGATGTCTTGAAAAAATTAAAGATTTTTAATTATGCTGGCACACTTTTCTTCAAACTGAAAGGAACAATCAGCAAGTTGCCTTGTTTTTCCTTGATTAGAAGCAATCAGCTGCCTGATGTTTGCCTAATGAGCACAGACAACAATTTGTAAATGAGGGCCCATATACCAAGTTGCAACTGAAACATAAATTCCATGTAATTTAATTGCAATTCGACTGCATACCATTGGCATCTCTGTTTAAATCCTAATCAGGATCTAAAGAATAAAGCTTTGGGATAGCCTTTCAATCACGTCTCTGTCTCTGAAGGAACTACTTTGTTCTTATTTTCTTCACCATCAACAAAGAAAACAATTCCCTCCAGTAATTTATATACATACCATTTAATAGATGCAAAACAAACTTTCCTCCATTCTTCAATGCCACAAGTTACTGAAAACTATTTAGATCCCCCGCCAACTGATCAAAAGAAAAGCAGCTAGCTTTTAGTTTTGGAAATTGTTGTTGTGGAATAATGAAGTCTCATTAAAAGTCATTGCACTCTAGTTTCTAATAAGAAGGCACCCACAATAGCTAGAATTTGCTCTCAGATTTTCTCCATCCTTCATGGCCCAGCAAAAAAAAAAAAAAAAAAAACCAAAAAAAAACACCATCCCACTGTTATGTAAAGTTAAACATAGCCATAGTGTTAGAATAGTTTGCCTACAGAACTTAAACTTTGCATAGAAGTTGATGAAATCATGGCAATTGACTTTTTCAGCAAAATAAAAAATAAAAACAGAATCCCCAAGGCTCTAAAGAATATAGAACATTGGGGAGCAGAAACCTGAACAGATGGATATTCTGTTGAAGAGAAGAATTGAAAGCAGCAGCAATGAGTGACTTGATTTGTTTTGTATGGTGAATGAGTAAGTGATGTTGAACACTGAAGGCTGAGAAAGGAACCAAAGAAATAAGGAGGTGGCTTTGGTTTGGTACAATACAAAGGCACACAGCTGCTTAACACAATAACACTCACGGAGAAGGGTAGTGAAAGAGACAGCAGAAGTATCCGCTGAAACAAAGGAATGGTTAGTGTCTAAATAACCTTTTGCCTCCTATCAAAGACTGGCACAGAAGTAACGGTGTCCTAAACAGTTAGATCTGGCAGCATCCCGTATGTACTTGATTCTGAGATGTTGCTGACAAATAAGCTGCAAACTAAATCAAGAATCAACCCTAGGGACGAACATCAATGTAACATTTACTTATCTTCTTGAACGGGATTTATATACTGCTTAATCATCACAACCTCTAAGCAGTATACATAAAGCATGCCTCGAAAATGCTGATAAAATAAGAAGTTGAAAAAGTTGATCTAGTCCCCCACCAAAAGAAAAGCACCAGTTTTATATCAATAATAGAACTAAGTTACAGTGGTGCCCCGCAAGACGAATGCCTCGCAAGACGGAAAACCCGCTAGATGAAAGGGTTTTCCGTTTTCAATGCGCTTCGCAGGACGAATTTCCCTATGGGCTTGCTTCGCAAGACGAAAATGTCTTGCGAGTCTTGAGATTTTTTTTTCGCTCCCCCCCCCTTTTTCTAAGCCGCTAAGCCTTTAATAGCCTTTTAGCAGCTAATCCGCTAAGCCGCTAAGTCTTTAATAGCCGCTAAACCGCTAATAGCGCTAATCCGCTAAGCCGCTAATAGGGTTGCTTCGCAAGACGAAAAAACCGCTAGACGAAGATACTCGCGGAACGGATTAATTTCGTCTTGCGAGGCACCACTGTACATGTTAAAGTACATGGTCAATGTCACAGGGATGAAAGGAAGAGCAGGTCATTCACAGGACAGAGAGAGAGATGTGAGGCTAACTTGCAGTTGGTTTCTTTATTAAGGGGGGGGGGATACAAGGAGGCTCATAAAGGCAGACTCCTCTACTGTGCAGCCCCTTCACTCTCTAGCCTTCTGAGTCAGGGCTCCTCCCCTGTAATCTTCTGCTACGGGGAGCCCCAGGTGTTTCTCTCTGTGCCTGTCTGGCTCGTTGCTTGACAACACGTAACATCCTTCACATTCTAGGAGTAAGTGGGGCCAGAGATCCATCAACAGAGAAGCTGTGGGAGAGATGCAGGATCTGGCTCACCTCTGTCATTTCTGCATTCAAATTGGAAACCTCATCACTCTGCCCTGTGTCCTTCCTTACTTCTGCCTCTTCGCTATCTGTGGCATTTGCCCGTTCATTTGAAAATGTCTGTACAGGGGGGGGGGAGAGAAAGGGTTAAAATGTAGACCAATAGGAAAGCCGGAGGCGGATCCTACCTGTTTATAAAAGGGGTTAACCTGAGATTTGGGTGTGGGTAGTAGGTTGGTTTTAGTGGGTTGGTTGGTTGGGAAAGGCAGTTGGAAAAGCAGTTGGCAGGCAAGTGGAAATAGAGAGACAGTGCAGTGGGTTCTTGTGTGAGGGGAGGTAGAAGAGATAGAGACAGGATAAAATAAGACTAAGATGGTAAAGAGTAACAACCTTTGGAATGCAGTTAAAGTTTGTTTGTGTCTGCAATAAACTACACTCTTCTTTGTTAACTTGAGAACCTGACTGAGACTAAGTGATTTACCGGGGAGGACCTGGTTGGTGGCAGCGGATTAGTGGTGTATGGGTCAATAGTCCATGAGATGACCGGGGGCTCCGTACAAACGCCACACTATCCCTCAAGCTTCTGCTTCTAGTACCTCCCAGCTTGTCCACTCCTCTGATGTGTGGCCTGTGACTCACCACCAGGACCTGGGATCTAAGTCATCTTCTTCTGTGCCTTCCTTGGGGGGCTCGGGGGGGGGGGCTTCCACCAGTCTTCCTCATCCTGTCAGTCCCTGACAGTCAAGTTAACAAGTTTTGGTGGTAGTAATAATAATAATAATAATAAAGGTAAAGGTACCCCTGCCCGTCAGGGCCAGTCGTGACCGACTCTAGGGTTGCGCGCTCATCTCGCTCAAGAGGCCGGGAGCCGGCGCCGTCCGAAGACACTTCCGGGTCACGTGGCCAGCGTGACGAAGCTGCATCTGGCGAGCCAGCACCAGCGCTGCACACGGAAACGCTGTTTACCTTCCCGCTATAAAGCGGTCCCTATTTATCTACTTGCACTTAGGGGTGCTTTCGAACTGCTAGGTTGGCAGGAGCTGGGACCGAACGACGGGAGCTCACCCCGTCGCGGGGATTTGAACCGCCGACCTTACGATCAGCAAGTCCTAGGCACTGAGGTTTTACCCACAGCACCACCCGCGTCCCAATAATAATAATAATTAATAATAATTTTGAGCAGGCATCAAAAATAAAACAGTGAAGGCATCTTCCTAATATCAATAACTTCCCAATCATTTTGGCCACAAAATAAGCCATGTTCCATATTCCTGTCTACTGTAGTCAAAACTGAGGTGTGTGCTACCACCATCATTTTCTTTCCAAAGTGCTATGCTTAAAATAAGAAGTGAGCAGAGAATTCTCAAAGCAGTACTCACTCTTGTCTTGTTTGACTCATTACCTCAAATTCTACATCTCATCCTAGGAAAATAAAATAGGTTGAGACAAGGCTAATAGTTCTTGGCATTGGTATTCTGGGTGATCCTGCCTGAGTGACTTAATAACTCCACATCCAATTGCCTGCCAGGCTAACAAGGCAAACAAGAGGCTGCATTTTCCCCTGAATTTATTCCAAAGGGCATCAGTAGGCTCTTGTTGCCTCTTATCTGCAGTCTTTAGAGTAAAAGAGCCAAGATGCTCAACCTGGCATAGCATATCTACTGTAGCTTTAAAAAAAAATAAAAATGCTTAATTTTGTGATGGCTTTAGAAACGGGGGGGGGGGGGGTGCAATCAGCCGGAGGCTTCAGCCAAATCAGATAATTGGCATCTCATAAATCTGCTGTTAGGGACTCATTTTTAAATATACCGTTAATAGCTTCTAAACTACGCATTAAAATGTCCACAACATTACTCACGAAAGTAAAAAAAAAAAGAGCTATATATAAAAAAGGTCTGCTTGGTTTTCTTTAAGTTACTCTTTGAGATTTAATGGATAGCCTGGGTAGGCATAATTACCGTAAATTTTGATTAATAGACCTTTAGTATATCTGCGGAATGAGGAGAATTATTAAGGATATTGAAATAATTAACATCAAGTGTTTTAATGCATTCTAGTTTATTGCTTTTGGAGAGGATGAGAAAGAAACAGGATTCTATTTAAAACCATGTCAGGCTTATGCAAACAGAAAGTTCCCTCTCCCTCCCCCTCACCTCCGCCCTACCTCTGTACATCCTGCAAATGGCTCGAGGGAAGTATAAAATATGCAAACCTGTCTGGTCCAGAAATCTGTGGACAGTGGGAGATGTATTGGATTTAAGCAGATGTTAAAAAGCGGGCAGTCAGGGAGGTTATTTCAGCCAGGGTTGGTGCAGACAACACACAGGATTCAAGAAGGTGTTTGGAGATACTTACACGATGAGTTCACCAGGACACCAGATAGCAATTGCGTGTTCAGATCCCCCTAAATAAATTCACACATGACTCAAATTTTGGTTTGGTTTTTGGCAGAATTTAGGCCACAACTTTATTGATTACAGAAAGTGACTGGTTGCATAGGCTCTGGTTCGACTAGCCCCCTGCCATGCAGGTAGTGCTGACCCAGGGCACCAGTGTAGGTCAGCCTAGGGTAAGCGGAAAGCCGGGAACAGGCTATCTCCGCCACCCAAATGTCCCCCTGGACTCAGGCATGGGCAAAACCCTCTCACAGGGTTGACCAAACCATCAAGTCCCTGGATTCCTTTAACAGAATACCCTTCACATAGGGATGGCGAGAGCGTTCTCCCATCCCTATCACCTGAACCAGAGCCTATCAGCAACCTTACAAGTTGTGACGATTTGCTATGCGGCAGGCGGAACCCAAATGGCAACAGCCAATCAGTCAAGTGGGGAAAATTCCTGCCGTGCCCCTGTCCCAACGACAGACGACACATGACAGCATAGCAAGGTCAAGCGCAAAGCCCTAAAAGTAGGGAGAGGTGGGCGGGTGTTCCGAATGCATGCGCCAAAAGAGGAAGCTCTGGGTCACGTGCATGGGTATAAATAGGTCCCTCAAACCGTTTGGACTGAGTCCCATTGGCCAGATTGCACCCAGCTATGAGGGACCTGCCAATTGGGTGTTGTAGCTGACCAATCGTACCCACCCACAACACAGGGTGTCGGTTTTCCAGGTCTCACCGCAATACGTGCCCTCTTTAAGGAAGGACCCGATTTATGAGCAAATGTCTTTATGAAGTGGGGCATCCACTCACTCATTATCATGGAAATGGCAAGGCAAAAGGTCTGCCCCTCTCCAGCACCATCTGAGTGCAAAAACAAAAACAAAAAACGATCTATCATTCATTACATTCTCTTCATATTCAGGAGAGACTTTCCGAAACTGAGTTGGCAACTTCCTTGAATGACAGGGGCAGCAAAGATTGCTGACAGAGTTGTGGTGTGTGCGTTTGTGTGTGTGATATGGCATTCCCCGACTTGGAAATGAAAAAGACACGGTGTCTTCCCCTCATTTCTCCCCTTGCTTTGAAGTAGCTGATCCAAATGAGCGTTGGGAGAAAAAAGGCCTGAAACAACCTGCTGCAAGCTGTCACTTCTGTGGCCTGGAGTATTCCAGCAGTGAAAAGAAAAGAAATGCAGAAAAGAAAAGGGAAACAAAGTGTAATGCCATGTCAAGTGAGACATTTTGACTACTTAAGAGCCAAACTAGATGTGACATTAATGGTGTACGAGCAATTAACCTGCAAGGTGCAGGACTATCCTGTGTGGGCATTTAACTCTTTCTCACCCAGCATGGTCCTGAAAGAGCAATAAGAACTATTAGAGGGAAGTTCAGCTCTCACTGTCACCAAAGGGAACTTTCCTTCTGAAGTATATGAGGGCAAGCAGGTTCATTGACATTGTGTGTGTGTGTGTGTGTGTGTGTGTGTGTTTGTGGATGCTTAATTCCTTGTGTTTTGTGGTACTGATCTTGTGCTACTGACCCCGTTCACTCATCCAACCTCCATGTTGGCTATTTAAAGTTTGAATCACACGCACATGGAATGCTTCCTTCTGTGCATTTAGGTTTATGTCCAGTTTAGCTGTAATGCTAATATGATAATAGTTTTTTATCTCCTTCAAGATTGCAAGCTACAGGAGACAACGAAGATTCACAATGAGCCAAAGGGATGTGGGTGATCGGATAAGGACCACAGTGCTGGTGGAGATTAATCCCTTTCTGTAACATTTATTTATCAACTGTTTGCAAATGTTAAAAAACAAACAAACAGAACACTCCCAAGGTGGCTTAAAATAATCAATACACAATATAAAGAACCATAAGCTTCAGCACAAGAAAACCATAACACAAAAAGGAATTAGAAGAAAGAACTAGCAATAAGACTAAAAACATATCCACCCTGGTAAAAGAGGTAAGATGCAATAAATGAACAATTTACTCAGTTGCAATCGTAAGTCCACTTACCTTGGAGTAAGTCCCACTGAAGTCTTCTCTGTTAGGAATGCAGGCTAAATAACTAAAACCGTTTTATTAAATCTTGTTTAAGAAAACACAGCTGAAAACATGTAAGCCTTTGGGGCATTTTAAAAGGCCTGAACTGATGGGTCTGATGTACCCCTACATAGGAGCCAACTCCTCAGGGATTATTTGCCCCCTGAGGGGCTGGGCAATTGGCATTAGCACCTGAAGTGCAGCTGGTACAATATAGATGTCAAATGATCCAACCACCTGGATTTCACCAACACTTGGCCAACTGTACCACATGATGCATCTGAATCGGCTTGAAAGGCAGCTCCACAAGGAGTGTATTGCAACAGTCCAGTCTGAATGTCACTGGTACACAAATAACTGAGACAAGACCATTCTCTTCAGAGAGGGCCACAGTAAGTGAACCAGTCTAAACTAATAAAAATCACACTATCCACTATCTGAGCTTCGTCAGTTTAAGAATAGCCATTGTGGCTAGCAGCCATTGATAGACTGTTCCACTAACGTGTCCAACACACACACAGGTTTTCTTTTCAGCCTCACAGTTTCTCTAGTAGGCCCCTTTAAAAGGTAAAGGGACATCTGACTGTTAGGTCCAGTCGTGGACGACTCTGGGGCTGTGGCACTCATCTCACTTTACTAGCTGGGGTACAGCTTCCGGGTCATGTGGCCAGCATGACTAAGCCGCTTCTGGCGAACCAGAGCAGCGCACAGAAACGACATTCACCTTCCCGCCGTTGCAGAACCTATTTAGCTACTTGCACTTTGACGTGCTTTCGAACTGCTAGGTTGACAGGTAGGCAGGCCCCTTTACTTGGTCCTATATATGTGAGTGGTTATTAGTCATTCCTCTGAGGAGGAAATACAGTGGTACCTCGGCTACAGACGCTTCAAGTTACAGACGCTTCAGGTTACAGACTCTGCTAACCCAGAAATAGTACCTCGGGTTAAGAACTTTGCTTCAGGATGAGAACAGAAATCGTGTGGCGGTGGCGCTGCAGCAGCGGGAGGCCCATTAGCTAAAGTGGTACCTCAGGTTAAGAATAGTTTCAGGTTAAGAACGGACCTCCAGAACGAATTAAGTTCTGAACCCGAGGTACTGCTGTAAATAAAAATTGTACTTGGGACAGTATTTGGGGAAAACAAAACTCCACCCCCCAAGATACTATGAGCTAGCTCTAAGGGATCCTATTTGGGGTGTGTGTGTGTGTGAGAGAGAGAGAGAGAGAGAGAGAGAGAGAGAGAGAGAGAGAGAGAGAGAGAGAGAGAGAGACTGCACACACATGCGTGCAGTTCTTTAGAAACAGAAACCTTCCTTTCATGCACAGAACACAATGGCAGGCATTTTTTCTGGATATAAATAAACTTCAGCAGCAGAGATGACTGAGCAACAGAATCAAAGAATGGAACTGCCTGATCCACAAGGCCTGTTTTCCCTGGTTGTACCCACAGTGTGTCTGCATGTTGTTTGTCTTCCGCTTTGTCTAGAAGGTGCTTGTTCTGCAGATATTGATGTTGTTTCTGACCCTGACGACATGAAGCATGGCAAGCACTTTTTAACAGAAGCAGAGCGCAAGCAAAGGCATCCCTCTGCAGCTTTGTGCTTCCTATGCAAAATGCATTTAAAGCTTTTCTACTGTTCCCAGAGGGACGCGGGTGGCGCTGTGGGTAAAACCTCAGTGCCTAGGACTTGCCGATCGCATGGTCGGCGGTTCGAATCCCCGCGGCGGGGTGAGCTCCCGTCATTCGGTCCCTGCTCCTGCCAACCTAGTAGTTCAAAAGCACGTCAAAGTGCAAGTAGATAAATAGGTACCACTCTGGCGGGAAGGTAAACAGCGTTTCCGTGCGCTGCTCTGGTTCGCCAGAAGTGGCTTAGTCATGCTGGCCACATGACTCGGAAGTTGTACGCTGGCTCCCTCAGCCAATAAAGCAAGATGAGCGTCACAACCCCAGAGTCGGCCACAACTGGACCTAATGGTCAGAGGTCCCTTTACCCTTTACCTTTATAATGTGTAATAATCTACCCATTATTCTGTCCTATTATCTACCTCTGTTTCCCCCTAATTATCTATCCATGGTTCTATCCTATTGTAGGGTGTATATTATAATTTTGTATTAGTGGACAAAATATCACAGGTCTTGTTCACACACAGTGGGGCATGGGAGCAGATCTTGTGGCTCTGTACCCTTCCCCACTATGCACAGTGCCTCCAGTATGAATCAGACTCTCTGAGTATAAATGTGCACTTATATAGGCTCCACTCAGGCCAGGCCCATTATTTCTGAATCCCATCATGTGACATGTGAAATCACAATACCTCTCAATTATATAATTTCCCAGAGGATTGTACAGCATAGAGGTTGCATCATGTGCTTGGCCCCATTTCTATGGACAGGTACAAAAAGGTAAAGGTAAATGACCCCAGATAGATTAAGTCCAGTCAAAGGCGACTATGGGGTGCGGAGCTCATCTAGCTTCAGGCCGAGGGAGCCGGTGTTTGTCCACAGACAGCTTCTGGATCATGGGGCTAGCATGACAAAACCGCCTCTGGCGCAAGAGGACACCGTAATGAGTGCCAGAATGCACGGAAATGTCATTTACCTTCCTGCCGCAGCAGTACCTATTTATCTATTTGCACTGCTATACTTTTGGGACAGAGCAATGGGAGCTCACCCCATCACGGGGATTCGAACTGCTGACCTTCCGATCAGCAAGCCCAAGAGGATCCATGGTTTAGACCACAGCGCCACCCACGTCCCTGGATTCTAGGGACAATATGATGACTGAATAGGACTATATATTTGATGCTGTGAGCTGCCCTGAGATCCACGGCTAAAGGGTAGTATACAAATTTGATTAATAATAATAATAGATATGCTTTCCCTTCCAATGTCTCCCTACCCACCCTTGAGTCCTGCACTTCCTGCCGGCCGTCTCTGCTATATTCCTGGCTCATCCGAATGGTCCACATGATGTATATCAGAGATGGGTTATGCTGTCTAGCCACAGCTGCTGCACTTCATGTTTCAGAATAGTTTACTCGTTCTCTTCCTAGGCAGCTGTGACACCCTGGCTGCGACAGTAGAGGTTCTGGCAAGGAAAGCCTTGCATGTTGCTGTTCATGAGCTGGAAACTGTGTTGCTAGGGAAGCTGGCCCTGCTGCACAGTGTTGAGGCACACAGTGTGATGTGCCCTCTGCATTGTGACCACTGGTGGGGCCTTTGGCTGTGTGTTGTGATCCTATGTGGTCATCTCAGTTGTCCAAGCCTTGGCATTATTCCCATCTGGAAGATTGTTTAAAAATAATTGTATCATGGCCTAACCTTTATTCTTGCTTTGGTGAGCAGCATGCCTTTGTCTCTTCTGATTAGCAGCGGCTGAGGCTCACAGGGCTGGCCCCAGTGCAGCACTTCTCCTGTATTAATGTGAGATAATAGTTGCCTGAAGACTTCTTTTTCTTCTGAGCTCCACGGCTTATGTATCATCCCCAGAGGTCAGCGACCGCTGCAGCCTTCCTGAACTGCTGAAAGCTGGTGTGAATTCAGCTTCCGAAGCTGCAAATGAAGCTGAGAGGAGCGACTCTGCTTATAACCCTTCATCACTGAGGAATTCTGCGTCTTTCTGTGTGTGCAGTGCACAAAACCCTAAAGACGTATAATGGGCCGTTTGGTGAAATGTGTCGTGCCAGCAATCCCTCAAACAAAGGGAAAACATAGGACGTTTCCTTGACAGGCCTAAGAGCAAAAGCTGTGTGTGTATTTAATGGAATTGGGAGAAAGTGTGTAAAATTATTTCCCCTGTGTGGCAGATCGACTGGTTTACTTTCAGAAATATCGAACGTCGCTTCAGGAAACTCAAATGACAAGAAGGCTAGCCTTTGACTGGAGCCCATTTTGGACTGGGGACTTCTTGTGTTGGTTAGACCTCGGGAGGGAAGCATTTCTCGGTAACATGAAGAAAGCTTATTTGTGTGTAAAACACATGTCTTTAATTTTTACTATGACCCACCAGGTCTTTGGAGATGGCGCACTGTGACCTTCCTTGGTTTGTTTTGCTTTTCCCCCTCGGGCTAGCTATAATTTGGATAATGTGGGCAAATAAATCTGCTGTTAAATTAGGAGTATTTGGTTATCAGATGTCCAGCTCTATAGTTCTGAAGAATTAATCGAAACTCCCCCTACAAGCCTCTGGACAGAAAGGCACACAAGCACGTACCAGTTGTTAAAGGATGCCAGCTGTAGACAATTGTTATGAAATATTACCTTGATGTGAGGACTGAAGTTGTGTGCATTTGCTACCTAATGAAGCACAGGAAGGGGTTCTGTTTCAAGTTCAGGAACCAGCTATTAAGACTATACCCTCCTTTTAAAAATTGATTTCTGGGCAAATTCAGCCTGGGGATTTGCTATACATCATTCAAAGCAAAGGGTACAGTTTAACCCTTGCTATCATCTTAAGGCAGCACTCCCACTGAGGTAGATGGTGTTAGTGCCAGCGATGATTTATGGCCCCCAAAACTGCAATGGAGTGGGTGGGTGCCCTGGATGTATCAAAGAGGGTGCCTTTGAACTTTTAACTCGATCAAGTTTCTTAGGAGGCATTTCTGAATCGTTTTAATCACTAGAATAATACCTATGTTACAGTGGCCAACAAAACAGAGTATTTTTGCCGATGTGAGGAAACATATTGATTTCCATCAGCTGCTGTGATAAAAATGACATGATGCTCTTTCCAAGGTAGCAGTTCTGGAGCTTTGACGATGGGGAAGCTCATTTAATCACAGCAGCTGCTGAAGTTGGGAGCCAAAATGTTTTGCCACTTAAATGAAAAAATACTGTTTTGTTAATCACAGTAGAATTATAGAACCGTAGAGTTGGAAGGGACTCTGTGGGCCACCTAGTCCAACCTCCTGCAATGGAGGAATCTCATCCAAAGCATCCATGACAGGTAGTCATCCAACCTCTGTTTAAATACCTCCAAGGAAGGAGTGTCCACAACCTCCCGAGGGAGACTGTTCAACTGTCAAACAGCTCTTACTAACCCCTGTGTTGCAAAATATGAGTCAGCAATACCAAAAGCAACACAATGGCCAGAAACAATAACAATGTGAAAAACTTTATGGAATAATTCAAAACATCAAAACTAATGAACTGAAGTCTCTACATAATTGCATGAGCACTGTTCCAGAGTATTTTTTCATTATATCTATTCGAAAAATGATTGGTTAATGAAGAAATTACATATCTTTCTACTTACAAGCGTTGAACTAATTGGCTCATGAAGAATTCAATGAAACAGTAGTTGTTATCCAGAAACACTGTTCAGCAGAGTTCAGAGTTGGACATCAGAATTGGACATTTGCTAATTATACAATCTTCACAGCTTGCTCTCCGTCGGGTAAAGTCTGGCACCGTGATTCATTTAAGACCTTTCAGAGACTTTAGTTTGTTAGTTTTGATGTTTTGAATTATTCCATAAAGTTTTTCACATTGTTATTTTTTCTGGCCATCGTGTTGCTTTTGATATTGCTGACTCAAACAACTCTTATTGTCAGAAAGTTTTTACATATGCTTAGTCGGAATCTCCTTTCTTGTAACTTGAAGCCATTGGTTAGAGTCCTACCCTCTAGAGCAGGAGTGTAGCCTTATTAGACTTTACCGATTGGTAGGGTGAGCGTTGCTCCCAGAACAGGGAGGAAGGAGTCAAATGACACCAAGGTTTGGTTCAGAGAAAGAGTTTATTCTGCTGTCCGGATAGCAGAAGGCACTGTGTGAATCGGTTCACAGCAAGCACAAAAGCAAGAGAAATTGCATACACTATATATATCCTCCAGGCACCCTCTCCCCCCATCCCCAGGAATCCAGACACGTAAGCTTATACACTTAAGTTGACATCACAGATGTTCCTGCTCCTGTACTCTTAACCATAAAAGGGTGTTCCTGTTCCTGTACTCTTGACCATAAAAGGGTGTTCCTGTTCCTGTATTTCTTATCTTGGGGTAAGAAGGTCACCAACTCTAAGAGCACTCCTGGCACCGTTCCCGGGGGGCTGACAAGGTCTGTGCATCAGTGTGGTCAGGATGTAAGATAAGACACAGATGTGTCATCCCTGCTCCACTTTGGAACTGACAAGGCCATTCATTAGGCATCACGTACTGATAAAGGAAAGAGCTTTGTTTATACAGCTGTGTTCTTATACATTTGCTCAAGAGCTCAAGTTAATGGTTTTTAGCTAATGCACCCTTGGAGAAGGAAAAATGGGATTTTGGGGCCCGTTTCAGATTGACTGCACAGCCAGATTTTAGATTTGGGAAACCCATTCCTTCAGGAGAAAACAAGCTTGTTCCCTCTTCCATGTGACAGCCTTTATTTGAAGATGGCTATCATATCTCCTCTCAGTCTCCTCTTTTCCAGGCTAAGCAAACCCAGCTCCTTCAACTGCTCCTCATAAGGCTTGGTTTCCAGACCCTTGAACATTATTGGTTGGTTGCCCTCCTCTGCACCCATTCCAGCTTGTCAACCTCCTTCTTAAATTGTGGTGCCCAGAATTGGACACAGTATTCCAGGTGTGGTCTGACCAAGGCAAAATAGAGAGGAACTATTATTCCATTTGATCTGGACACCATAGTTCTGTTGACAGATCTGCAACATATGTGTGTATTTTTCTACATATATACACAAAGCCCTTGATTACTAGGCAGCTTTCTTATAATTTCAGTCTTAATAAAGATGCAGCTACCTTTTATCAGTAGCAAAAATGGGAGTGGAGAATGGCTTTTTTTAAAAGTTCTTGATGTTTACAAGTTTTAGCAACCTGGTTAAATGAATGACACACGTTTCTTCTCTGTGCTGTATGGTATAACACTGGAAGGCTAGTGAAAGAGGCTCCCCTTCTGCTCTGCTCTGTTCATGTTTGTTTATCAAATTCAAAATGGATAACACTAGCTATCTATTTGTTTTGCAAAGAGGTTACTTGTTTGGCTTCCAAGGGCGCAAAACATTCTTGGCTATCTACCAGTAGCCTTTGCTGTTTATTCTGCAGTGCAAACAGATAGCTGTCATGCTGACTTTTGGAATAACAAATCCAGTCAGCCAGAAGGGTTTTAATAACAAATCCAGTCAATCAGAATGGCTTTTAATAATTCTAATTAAACAACAACAACAACACCCTTCTCATTTATGCATGAACAGCAAAATAATTTATTAATCAGAAGATTGGGGGGGGCTATGAAATTGCAGCACATCTGTATATTAGTCTAAAGTGTGAAGTAGATTGAAGATACCAAGCAGAAAATACTTGGGCATGCACAATTTATGGAATTCACTGCTAGATTTAGTGATGGCCACTCATAGATGTTCTTTTTCTGAGGCTCTGCTTTGGGTCAGAAATCCATTTGTCGGTACCCCAGACCTTATCAACTCTGTTACATGAACAGCAACCACAGTTTTATTCTGGCAACCTTTCTGGAGTTTATTCCATTATTGAATGTATCAAATCCCAAGAAGCACCAGCAGAAAGGGGTTTAGCAGGAGGGGATTTTCCCCTCCTTCCCCTAGCAATCCCCTGAAAACCCTTAGGGATGCCCATGAATTCCTGAGGGTGGGGGGGCTGAGGGAGAAGGTGGCACCACCAAAAATCAGGAAGAAGTTGAGTTACTCTCATGAAAGGTGTCTCTGCCTGACTTTTGAGATTTTCTTCTGGGCACACCTACACAAGGATGGGCTGTTAAATTCATGGTCTATGGCTTCTGAAGCTTGCCTTAAAAGTGTAATATTTTTGCAATATGTGTTTAATTTTTTATACTAGTACCCAAAAGAACCGGCTAGTGTGAAGTGTAAAAATGTCACTTCTATCCAGCGTAAATCTTGTGGGTCACTTATGTGTACTTTTAAAAAAAATCTGCATGGGAGATGGACTCTTGAAATGCTCTATGACTGAAACATCATACAGTGTACTGCTGCCTATATGCATTTATCTGGAGAAAAATAGTTGATCCTGTTGTAAATAAAAATATGCCCTTTTCCCTTATGGGGTATCCAAGAGCCCATATAGAGTCCTTACATAGGTTCCCTATTGGTAGGAGAAAATAACAGAGGCCAACCAGAGAATATTGAGAAGCAAAGCAG